GTCATGCGGACCATGGCAGTGACAGGCAGTCCACGGGCAGACTTCAACAAGCCATTGAATGACTCTGACACGTTTGTAGTGAGGGCTCCCCATCGTCTACCGCCATCAGTATGCAATGTCCACATGTGAAGCTCATGCCCCATCAACCAAGTATAGGCTCGTGGTTCTAACTGCCGGATCGCTTCCATGCGCCTCGTGAATTTGCATTACTGGTGCTCAGTTGCAGCCAGCCACATTAAGTCATGCAATGCCTTGTCAGGATATTTCTTCTGGAAATTGGCCTTCAGGTGACGCACACAGTAACGGTGGTATGCATATGGTTCCTGCCATTCAGGCAAGTGACGTACAGAACTTAAAATACCACCATGCCGATCAGATATTAGACAAATACCTGAACGTTGTTTGAAAACGTGCTGCTTCAAGTGGTTCAAAAAAGAGTCCACGTCTCTTCGCTTTCGTTGGCACATATGGCAAAAGCTATGGAAATATTTGCCCGTTGGCATCTACTGCAACTGCAATCAAAAGCTTAATATCATACTTTCCATAGACCTGATTTCTTCTTGGTGGCACGCAACATCCAGTGACAACCCATAAAGTCTCTACGGCATACAGCCTTGTATTTCTCCGTAGTTGACTCATTTACCGTCATCTCATGGCACTCTCTTATACTGTAGATTTCTACATCCCTAATTAGGCGAGCTTTATCGGGGAAATACATGCCCTTTGTCAGAACAGCTGGTCTAGACTCATCCCACATCGCTGACCGAAATTCATCATCATCCCTTGTGAGGGCATCCACGTTCGGCATGCTTGGAAAATTATCAAGGTAGGGAATATTCCGCTCATGAAATAGCACGTGGGACTTGTACACTCTTGGTCTAGCGGGAGGTGGAGGAACATGCTCCCTCGTCAGCTCAGGTTCAACATTCACTTCCTCCTCATCATCACCCTCATCATGGAAGGATGTGTCATCCCCAGACTCATCCGTATTGTTGTCATAATCACTATCATCTTCCTGACTCTGCGCATCTGCCAAATCACGAGTAAATACGTCGTCTATGGGCAACTGTGTGAGGTCAGGAGCTTCAAGAAGCTCGTTTTCACTGCACATAAAGAACAAAATGATAAGTTACCCAACTAGATAAATACTTTAGATATAGCTATATCACTTTACTTACAAGTCGTACTGTCTTGACGTTTCATGATGGATATTTTCTTGTTGGTGATGACTCCCAGATGGACCACCATGGTCCAATACTCCAAAACTACGCATATTCCAACTAGGGGTAGGGTCATAACTTGTAAAATTCATATCCGGACGGTACCCCCTATGAAAAATATAAGTCTTAATACAAATCCAATTAAAACATAAATTAAACATCGCTAAAGCGTAGTAAAATTGAAGTTTACCAGTCGTCTTGTTGATTATCTAAAGTCAAAAAATTATTTTGTGGCTGCTCATTCGCCGGTGGTGACAAGTTTAAATCAAGGCAAGCTCTTTCATCACCAATCTGTCCGGCAAAAACTGCTCCAGAATAACCACCCGATGACTGGGGGTTATCCCTACCATGCACGCCCTCATTATTGGGAACGTCTTCCACCTTGACGTACATTTTCAATAATTTTATTGCAATAAATTCCCTATATTCATCCGGAATCCGCAAAAAATCTCTAAGAGTTTCATCATCCTCGATGTTAAACTCGGAATAATAGGCAAACCCCTGCGGAGTCACTAAATATAGAAATCTACCGGTTACTTTAAGGTTAACCGAACGCCTCCTATCACTCATTTTTTTACGTAACAACGATATCAATTTATCGTACTCCATAGTAAGCGGCAATTTAACATGACACTGTGGAGGTGAGCTATACCTCACAGAGTTATTCTCCAGCACAACCTCCCCCCCCCCCCCAATATAGTGAAACCCTTATTTTTGGCACTTCATACATTGTAAAAAAAAATGATTGATAAGAAGAAGAGAGAAGTATGAACGTAAGTTTGAAGTAAAGTATTGAATGGATTTTCATAAAATTGAAACGCCTTTAAATAAGGCAAGTCCGAGCTTGGGGTGTAGAATTTTTCTATGTAAAATGCAGTACAATACTACATTTTATATATTTAAATTATTGTTATGTCAGTTAATTGGTAGGGCCAAAAATATGAGTAAAACGCAGTATAATAGTACGTTTCAGGTAAAACGCATTATTATACTGCGTTTTACAAAAAAAACAAATGTGTTGTACTGCTTATAAGTAAAACGCAGTATAGTATTGCGAATTAGTAAAAAAAAAAATTAAATAATACGCAGTATAATATTGCGTTTTACGTAATTACGTAACCTTTTTTTAGCATTAGAAACGTATTTTTTGTCCAAAAAAGCATCAAAAAATTTTCGGACTCCCCCTCCAAACCAACTGGGTCATCCGACCAACTTTTCTTTTTCAAATACAAAAATAACTTTTTGTTCTCTTGATAATGTCATGTAGCATCACATTTTCATCATTCCCATGCTTTTTACATTCTTTTACCAATCACAAAATTATTGTCATATTTCCCTATCATTGCATATCGGCCAGTGATGGCTTCTAAAATATATTTCTTTTATATTCTGTCCCCATTCCCTCCCCTCCAAAGAATCCTTCTCCTACATCATAATTCATATATTAAAGTTCGGCAGAAAGACAAGATAAGCCTATATTATAAAGGGCAGACTTATTTGAACAAGACCAAGGTAATTTAACCTAGCTACATCATGTCTCTACAGTTATTTGTCCAAAGAAGAGAAGAACGATTGTAACTCATCAAATTCAATTAATTTAAAGTTGGGAAGTGAAAGGTTTAGAATAGTAAAAATGGTTTTAAGTGAAAGAGTTTAGATCTGAAGTATCAACAAAGCATATCCAACCTAGTTCAAAATTAAATGCAAAAGAAAAGAGAAACAATATTACATTTCTTTTAAAGGAAACTATGCTTCACTACAAAAAAGCTGGGGTAATTGCGACGGTTTCATTTGCTTATAGTGGCGGTTCAGAACCACTGCAATTGTTATTAATGGCGTCCTACTCAACAGCCATAATCGCTTCCGCCAAAAGGTGTAATACGGTGGTTTTCGTCTAACCACCGCAATATGCAGATAGAACCACCACAATATGCATTTTTAAGTACGGTTGTTTACTTTGCTTATTGTGGCAATTTGGAACCGCCGTAATTGTTGTCCTCTCCCTTTCAAATTATAGCCATTTTATAAGGGGTGGCTGGTGGATGAAGATGGAGCAAAGGAATCTAAGGGGTGGAAGAGGAGCAGAGAAAGAGATTGAAAGTTCAGTGAAGAAAGCGCCCACTGAGGATGTGAGAAGGCAGCTGTTCCAAAGATTATAGAGAAATGACGAAATTGATGTTCTAAAGGGCATGATTGGGTTACAGGTCGAAGAAACAATCTAACCCACATTTGGTTGTGACATTAGACTTGGTAGTCCCTGACTTCAGACCCCAACTTTAGACCCGAGTATTTCTGAAGTTTGAAACTTCTTACCAGTCTCAGACCTGAAGTTGATCCTGAGACGGCTAAATATTAAATACTTTGTAATTTAGGCTATTCTTTAAACAGCAGTGCTCCAAGTGGCTATTTGTGCACTTGCCGCACAATTCTAAATTGAGAATGCGGCCAAGGCAGGACCTTCTAGGATTTTAGATCGATAAGGCTCACCACCGGCTCAGGGACATTACTACCCGCTACTGCCACTGCCAACCCCTCTCAATGTTAAACTAAATAAAGAAACAATTTAGAGAGAGAGGAGAGAGATAGAAAGAGCTACCTGGAGGGCATGCTTGAAGCGCCGTAATGCCCAGAGCTGTATGGACAGATTTCTTTAGGTCCTCATACTTCACGGACTTTCCTTCACTAACCCACTGCTTAATTATTGGAAGAATGGGGACAGTAGAAGGTGCATGCAGTATCAGCCTTTGGTAGAGATTGTCTTCCTCCTTTGGAATTGGAGCTGCTGAGAAAGATGCTAGGGTTTCAGAATTGCTATCGTGCGACGGAAACTGAAGAGCCATAAGAGATGTAGGGCTATATTTACACCGTGATATCAAAGCAGCCACACTCTGCTGGAGAAGCTTCACCAATATTTTAGGAGTAATATTTTCAATGATCACAATAATTTAGGTTCGCTGAAATTAAAAATCATACAATAGAGAGTATTTTTCTTCATTAATCCAAATTATTGCCAAAAACAATACTTTATCAAGTTTCAGATATCGAGTGCTTAAAGATAAACAATCGCATGTGAATTTCAGAAATGGAGCTTTGCCTTGTGAATTTCAAAAGCTGGAGCTTAATGCAGGTACTGAACACCTCGAGAAACCAAAAAAACAAAAACTGGAGCTTAAAGAAAAACAATTCTGTCAATTAAACTAGATTAGGAAAGTCGTTAATTATCAGCAAAAACCCCAACAATCTGGAGCCTTAAACCTTATTTTACCTCTTCTTCCTCCTTATACACCCCCCCCCCC